GTGGAACCTTATATAGAACGGAAAACCGTCGGAAATCGGATTTCCGTCGGGATGCCCAATCAAATTTTGCCGACATCGGAAAAATCGGATTTCCGTCGGGATGCCGTCGGAAAGTCGTCAGAATATTACGACAGTTTATTTCCGTCGGAAATAACCGACGGATTTTCGACGGTTTACTTTTGGTCGCAATTCCGTCGAAAATCCGTCGGTTATTTCCGACGGATTTTCGACGGTTTACTTTTGGTCGGAAATCCGTCGGAAATTTCCGACGGAAATCTCTGCCGTCGGAATTTCCGTCGGAAATGTTGCTGTTTTCTTGTAGTGTCACTTTGATATAGAATATTGAGTTGAGTGACATTTTGTGAAGCAGAAGAACAATATTATATTTGCGTAGTTGTAAATTCAAAATTTAAGGATGTTGACAAAAAAAAAACCCATATAAGGATAAAAAAGAAACAGTAAATTTAATTTAAGTCAGAGGACATTACGAAATCCATTGGTTAATTCCGTAATGCGTTTGAGTCTAATCATTCTGTATGAGTATAATATATTAATTTATTCATTAGATACTCTTCCTCCTGACCGGAATATAACTAATCAAGGCCCTTTTCCTAGGAGGTCAGATTTATGAATATTCAATTTATCCGATCAAATATTTATTTTAAGTAACATTTTCAACGAAAGAACAAAATTTTATCGGAATATTAGTCTCTGAGCAAAAAAAAAACAAATTTGTTCAACGATATTTGTTTTTTTCTCCAATCTGTCAAATGTAATAACATCTAACAAGAGTTGGATTTCAACGAGAGGAGTGAAAAAAGAGCGAGATGTTTAGAAAATTTCTCGTATTTCAACAATTGTGCAATGTTTTTATATTGGGTGGTTTTATATGTAGCAGTTGGATGTGTAATAAATGAGTCTTTCCTCGTTGGTGAATGTTTGAGCTTTGTGATTGTACGGTTCCTCCAAACTATTTGCATTGTGGTCATACCTTTCCCACTTGTAGTTCTATTTTATCTAAACAATGTAAACATATAATTCTTGCCTTAATGCAAACCATGCATGACCAGTTGACCACCATATTTTAAATCCTATTTATCTAAGGGATTTAAACGTTTATAGTTCCTGCCCTCGATTATAAGAGATTAAAAAAAGCCTTGAATCAAGTCTTAAAAGTCATGTTTTAAGATCAAAGGAACACGAATGCAAAATATTATCACTCTTTGTATGGTAGTATCATACAAACCTAAATTTAATTAAAGAAAGAGCCCAATATTTGGTTCTTTGATCATTAATAAACATGCTGATGAAAATTGAATATACTAAGACCATATTTTTACCTAGGTCCAATCATGTTAGACATATTTCATATGATTAGTTATATAATTGGTTAAAAGACTGAAAAAAAAGAAGTAAACATATTATCTGAGATTCGAAATCCGATCAGGTATCCGTTCGGAAATTAGGATATCGGGGAAAAAAGGATCCGGATAATGATAGTAAATATTGGATTTATGAAAAGGAGATCCGGATAGCAAAATTTTAAAATCTGGATATCCAGATCCGGACGCATTAGATATAACAATATATTATATATATACATAGTAAGTTATTTTTATATAATATATATATATATTGATTTTAGTTCTTTTTATAATATATTATATTTATTATGAAAAATATCATTCAAAAATTTTACTAATAAATTTTTTAATTTATTTATTAGTTATTTAATTATTTTTAATATTTATTTCGGATCCAGATCCGGATATTCGCGGATATCATGATTTTTGGTCTAATATCCAAAGTCCGGATATCCGGAGGTCACGAATCCGGATCCAGATACTTTTATCATGGATCTCAAAGATCCGGATCCGAATTCGAATACCCCAAAATTCTAGGAAATCCGGATCCATCTCACCTCTAATGCTACAATTTGAAGAAACACAACACATGTTGAAAGGAATTGATACAGAACTCATGTTGATATATTAACTATATATAACAAAAGAAAGAGACAATGTATACATATAACATTAACTACAAATTTTGGAGGAAAGGCATAAAGACCTAAGTCTAATAATAATGTGCGTCGTTGTCTTAGATTTGCTAACAAACAAATGTCAAGATATGGCTCACGAGGGAAGCTTTAGGGAGAGGATTATT